ACCAGCATAGGACCAAACCAGGCCCCCTGAACATGGGTGTCAGTTTGGGGGGCCTGACCAGTCTATAGGGCCTCTTCAGTGGAATCAGTATTTATCCTTAGTGCACAAATGGGCTTTGGGAGCCCAGTCCCTATGAAGAGATACTCTCTTGGCCTAGATACACAGGGGAGGGACTAGGTCCTGCTGCAAGTGATGTGACAGACTTTGATGATTGACCTATGGGAGGGTTCACACTCCCTAAGGAGTGGATAGGGGGTAGGATGGGGAGTTGGTGGGAGAACAGGAGGGAGAGGGAACTGGGATTGGTGTGTAAAATGAAATTGTTTTCGATTTAAATAAAAATTAATGTAACAAAAGCCTCTCCACTTGAACTCTGTTGCATGGTGTCTTTCTCTCTCCAGCTGCTTTTTTTTTTTAAATTACAGCACTCACTGTGTGAGTGGTACCCAGATTTGGAAACAGAGAGAGGAGGTCTAGGCGTACTTCATGAACCCTGCATAAGACCTGGGTCTGTCAGATCTGGATTCAGAAGCCACACATTGAACTGAGTCAGATTTGATAAGGAACCTAACTTTGGAGTCTGTTGAGTTGGAGATTTCTCTGAGGCTTTCAAGGGACTTTATTGTATATTCTTTTTTTTCATTTTTTAAATTTAAATTAGATGCAGGCTTGCTTCATGTGTCAATCTCAGCTCCCTCTCCCTCCCCTCTTTCCCCGCACCCCCCACCAGGCTCCCCAGTCCCCCTCCTAATCCTCACTCTGTTCCCCAGGGAGGGTGTGGCCCTCCATGGAGGATCTCCAGAGTCTGTCATTTCATCCAAGGCAGGGCCTAGGCCCTCCCCCAAGAGTCCAGGCTGAGAGAGCATCCCTCATTGTGGGATAGGCACCCAAAGTCCATTTGTATGCCAGGGATAAATACTACACAAGGCTCCATAGATTGTCAAGGGACTTTTAGAAAAATCAGTGGAGATATTCAGACTGAAATGTTTTGACCAGAACATCAACAGTCCATAGATTTCAAGACTGTCAAGAATCATGGGTGATGGTAGAAGCAGAAATCATGGAATGAATTGGGTAAAAAGTAAGGAATGTAGATTTCCAGTTACCCCTGGAAAATAAAGGGTGATTAATTTACTTTTCTTTAATACTGGCCTGACTTTTATAACCTGCTTCACTAAAAGAATTGTGGCTTGAACATGCAATAGACCCCAGGTTGTTTGAACACTAGGTCTTCAGAAAGTAGTGGCACTGTTTGGGGAGATTGTGCAATCTTTAAGAGGTAGTCTTCCTTGGAGAAAGTGTGCTTGCGGAGGCGGGTCTTAGGGTTTGTAATCCAGTCCCATTTCCTGCTCATTCTCAGTTTCATGAGGTGCAATGTGACCAGCTACCTCCTTTTCTTGCCATCAAACCTACCCAGCCACCACAGAGTATAAAACAAACTAAACACTTCCTTGCTTACATTCCTTCTTGTTGGTTTTTTTCTTGTTGTTGTTGCTGCTGCTATAGCAATAAGTAGTTCAGAAAATACAGCAGAAATATTAGTTCTTATTGTTACATCATAAAAAGCATTACAATGTCTGTCTGAGTCTCCTGAAACATGTGATGTGAAGGGATTCTCCTGGAACATGTATGTGTTCACAGAAATTATTACTCTTTATGTTTCAAATTTCTTATTTGTACATTGATATAAATTTAATATTTGTTAGTCATTTCTTCATTATTTCCTGCTTAATGTATATTGAAGTGTATCAACTGGCATATAGTTAAGATTTGTCTTATTTTCTGGTTTGAAAATGATAACTTTTACAAGGTTTTATGACTCTAGTAGTTTTAGTAGTCAAGTTTTATAATCTTATTAAAAATAAATCACTAACCAATTAAAATACATCTATTCAAAATTCTTTATATAAATAAATTTGATATTCTCTCCTTATGGGCAATATGGAGATATTCAAAGCTAATATTTTCAGAAGTACTCCATTATTCAAATGGTGCTTAATAGCTGCACACTAATATTATTCCCAGAAATACCACCTCTGTAAGACAGATAATTAAATTACTCTTTAATCTAATAACCCCAAAGGGATAACTGTAAGAAATAACCACTCTCCGATTAGATGATAGTAACAAAGATATTCTAAAGAGGAATGTATGGGTATTAAATAGCCACCCATTTCATCCCACTGGCATTTCCCAAGCGAATGGAAACTAAAGACAACAAAAGTTGTCTAGCAAGTAGCTTCCGTATAGCAGTTGCCAACCTCTAAGATGTCCTAGACTCAATTTCCATACATAGCTCCATGTCCTAACATGAGAAAAAGGAAGCTTCCTAGACTCTTTCCTTGGAAACTCCTCCCTAATAGGCTTTTAGTTTAAGGAACAATGCTGTTTGTTACTGCTAGAAATTTGTCTCTATGTTAGTGCCTCAGCTGAGGTGAAGGGATCTAATACAAACTCAGAGGCAGCCCAACTGGCTGACTATTTCCTAAGGTTTATAGATGACAAAGTCTTTTACCTCACACTTGTCAATTATTCTAATTCACCCATCCCGTTGCTTCCTTGGAGTAGGGAAAACTTCTTTGAGTCTGAATCATTAGGAAACCACTTTCCAAACACATTTTTGCAAGAAGAAACCAAAGACGGCAGATAATGTGTTGTGGTAGATTATTGATTAAGAAGACCTCAACCTTCCAAGTGATAATGTTAGAAACAGAATTCGTTGAAGAACCTGGCATTGAGAGTTTGGTCCCTAATTACCTTTCGAATTTTATCTATATCAAAGGGAAAATTCTAAATACTTTGAATTCTTTATAAAGTAATGTTCATATTAATTAAACAAATTTTAAAGTAGTACTTTCTATTACCCATTGAGCATACTAAAAACACTTGCCAGTTACAAAAATAGATTTCACAGACAGGGTCAGTGTTACTACATTTGAATGAGAAGTTTCATTACATTTCCTACAGTATTTTACTATAGTTTATAGGGAATTACAAAACTTTACCCTCCTTGTCTTTAAAATATTTCATATCTTAATTATTAAATATTTAATCATTATTAATCTTAATATTTAATATTTTTGAGATTATAACAAAATTGTATAATTTTCTCTTTTCTTTTTCTCCTTCCAAACTCTTCTATATACACCCTTTTTGCTCTTTTTCAAATACTTGGCCTCTTTAAATATATATATATATATATATATATATATCCTTAAATACATAAATACAACCTTCTCAGTTCATATGTTACTTGTATGTATATGCTCATCTTGAAACCACTGGAAGTGGATAACAAATTGATCTACTTCTGGAGAGATTATTTCTTTTGTGGCAATCAATTTAATGAAGTAAATATAGTTACATTAGTTACATTTAAAACCTGACCTTAAAGAAAGCCAGTATTTGGGTAAGTCAATCCTTCCTTATTTTGCCAACAACAACAAACTTCCACGTTTGCTGTAAAAGCAGCAAGTGAAGAAAATGTGTCTAATATAAGCTAACAAGTCAAATTTATGTTAAACCATGTAAGACTCTTGCTTCTTGGTATTTCTTCACCTAAAATCCTTAGGAATTCAAATCGGGTTGGGGGGTATTTTCATGCTAATATAGTGACTGACAATGACCACAATCGGTTTCTGACCCAAACCTTCTCCCCCTTTTGTACTCCTTTGAGCTTCGTGCCTGGGCACAAGCAAAAAAAAACCAATCAGAGGTATGGCAAATCCTTCTGGAGAATGGGGATATATTGCCTATCTGCTGTAGAGTCTACATGCACTGGATAGGAATGCAGTCTCAAACTTGAAGCAATTTCTCACTAACAGTCAAATTAGAGATTGAGGTTAGGTGACACACACTGTAATCCCAGCACTTGAGAGACACAGGCAGAGGGATCACAGCAGGGCCACAGCAAGCCTGTGATTTTGGGACTAGCAAGGACTATACAGAAAAACCTGTCTCAAAAAAATATAAAACAATTAGAGGACTAAGGCATGATCTATATTTGCCCTCTATTAACAGTTATTTTCCATCATTCAGGGGTGCATTGTTTTTATTCCTCTCAGTGGGATACTTATGAAAAATTGTCCCAGTGACTGTCTCAATTTAATTTTCTGTTTAATCATCCATTTTTCAACTCAATTCCTCCCAGAAGGGTGTTAGGGGAGTAATAAAAGATACCTGTTCATTTCACAGACACATATGTGGTTAAAGAAACTCGTAAAATAATGCTATAAAAGTGAGGGAGAAAACCGTATATTTCACTTTGATACATAGTTGTGAAGATTTCTTATGTTGGCTTTCTAATAATATGAAAAAATTACCTACTTGTTTTAAATATTTATTGATAATAATAATATGTTTATCAAGTTATAAGAACAGTTAACACAATCTTGCTCATTATTGGAAAAGTATTATAGATAGTAAAATGACATAATATTGGTCAGTCTTTTTGCTTAAATGAATATTATCTTGAAAAAAATTACTATACTTTCCCATATACAAGTAGACATTTCATGGAATAGCAGTAAAGAAAAGGGGGCTTCATTTAGCACTCATTCTTGAAATATGTTTGTTTAAAATGGAAATACGATATTTTCATAGGTGACATAACATGATTGAAAAGAAATTCATAAATTATATTCATATTTATCTACCGGGCCAACTATGTGATTATCTTTAATCTGAACTTAAGGGCTTCATGCTCATCATTTGCTAATTCCATTAAGGCTGTTATCTTTAAGAGCCGAGAAACAAAATATTTACTTCAGTGAACCATTTTATTTATAGTGGAATTCAAAACAATTTATATTTTGAAATTATCCACAATGTACTATCTAGTGCTTACATTGAAAAGAAGAATTTCTTACAAGAAACGATGAAAATATATGCCATTGGCAGCATTGTTATATTTTCATTTGATACAATATGAACAAAAGATTAAAGAGAAAAGCAAAAGTTAAATATATTTTGAATTCCCTGTAATGGATTCCAAGTTATTAAAATGCTTTTGAAGACAAAAATAGATATCTAAATACGAAAGTCATTTTGATAAGCAATATTTACATTATATATGTATAAGTTAAAAATTACTATAAGCAACTGTCAATCAATTGCCACCATCAGAAAAAATATTTTTGGAACCATGAATCTAAAACAAAAAGAAGCGAAAAATGAAGACAAGGACAAAGAAAAGGCAAAGAAGTCATCATTGCTGATGTGACTTTCAGTTAAATACATTTTCCTATAAAGTGGCAAGATAATATTTACAACTGAAAAGCACATATTCTCCACAATTTGTCTTCCCTTTGGACACGTGGGGCATCGTTCCTCCCGTGTGATAGTTCATAATACATGATAGATAAGTCTGGAACTGGAGGCTCCTGGAGTTGCAGGCTGTGAATTGCTGCTGGCAGCTGGAGAGAGAGAAGCTGTGTCCTGGAGAGACAGCTCGGTTCTCTCCGCAGACGTGATCCGATCCACTATGCTGGACAAACAATCCAAGCTGGATAAGGAGCTTTTATCTGCAGCACAGGCTAACGGTACAAGGAGAAAAGTGATTTGAAAAAAAAAAAGTTAACCCCACACAGGCTTGCTTATGCTGCCCTTTAAACTGTAGGTCAGCACCTTTGACAGCATGGGTCAGGTGATCACAGAGAGCCTGATGTAAAAATTTGCAGCAAATAGCTAGCAATTCCTGAGGGTGGAGGTATGGAGGGAGGAAGAAGGCCTTGGAGTATTTCTAGCAAAAGTGAGTGTGTGTGTGTGTGTGTGTGTGTGTGTGTGTGTGTGTGTGTGTGTGTGTGCATTCACGCATGCATGTCGTCTGTCTGTTTGGGTAAATGTTTATTCTGCCAAAGCCTCCCCATGACATCCACCACTTCCATTCCTTTCCCCAGTACTACTTGGAGGGACAGACACTGCGAAGACAGACTGAATTGAGAGACTGAACAGATCTTTAAATGTGTCGGAAGTTATCAGTTCTTACCGTTTGACACTTCAGGACAGTAGACGCTGTCAAAGCTACTGTTCTTTCGGGACCAGACAGGACTGTTACATTCAGGCTGTAACACAAAACACACAGAGATGAATGTATTGTCAAGTCTTTGGCAAAAGACGTCCAGACTTGGGGTGTGATAGGACTGTCCCCCAACATGGTAAACTGACTGCTCCTAGTTCCCCCCACAGCGCTGACTTAGGAAGGGGCTGCTGCCTCCACATCGCCGGGGCACCAAGGCCAGGCTCTGTGCTGGAAGAAGAGGAAAGCAGAGGGAAGATGATGGAATCCAGCAGCAATGTGCACTGGGTTATAACCATGCAAAATGGATTGCGATAGAAGGAAGCAGTACTAATTGTAGGAGAGAACACTTTCCCAGGGCAAAACCATGTTACAATCTGGCAATGTTGGACCAGATACCCTTGGAAAGAAAATGTACCATCATTTCTTTCCAGCTTGGCCTCAGAGCAGGGATTGGGACCATGCTAGAAATTCTAATTCTTCACTGAGTTATAATCTTGAGGGGTAGCTGTATGTCAGGGTCTGCACTGATAGATTTTGGAAATAACAGAGAGATCACTTAATCATTTAAATTAACCTTGGTAAACGACAACCTTTTCCTACCATGTACATGCATATAGACCTAGCTGGGAAATCAAAGGGAAACCTTGTACAACAGTTTTTTCTTTGCATCTTTCTGTGAACATGCCTCTGAAAGCAAAGGTCCCACTGTACCTGGCTTAGATGAGGTACTAGAAGAAGGACTTTCCACATACACTAGGGCAGGAGAGAGCGGGTCTTGAAGTTGTAGCTTACCATGCCATCAGAGCAGTTGGAGGTGGGGCTGGTGGGCTCCGAGCAGCTCTGTCCGGGCAGGCTGTAATAGTTCTCCACCTGTTCCCTCAACAGCTCCTGCAGGCTCTCGATGTAACGGATGGCATTCCTAAGGATCTCCACTTTGGGGAGCCTCTGGTTGGGGTTGCTCGTGGTGCACCTCTTGAGCGTCTCGAAAGCTTGGTTGACCTTCTTCAGGCGTCTACGCTCGCGCATAGTGGCAGCCTTGCGTCGGTCCATTGTGGTGGACTTCCTCTTGCAGGCTTTGCAGGCCCACATGAGGCAGTGGCCAGCCTGGTGGTGGCCAGTAGGTGCCCTCACGTGCTCGTCATCATCCGAACCCTGCAGCTCAACCTTGTGCCCTCCGAAGGCAGCCACTCTAGGCTCAAACTGGTCCCCAAACTCACCCTCAGGGGAGGGGATGCAGGAGCTCTCGTAGAAGTACTCAGAAGGTGAGAACTGGCAGCCGTCCATCATGTCCATGCTTCAGAGAGGCAGGTGAGACCCCTGAATTCAGCAGAGAGAGAAAAACGGGACTCCCTGACTGCTGCAGGCCAGTAAATCCCAGGCAGAGCTCTGGGTTAGGAATTGTTTCTCTGTAATTAACGAGGACAGACGCCTGTTGGCCAGGGTGGGTTGGTGGCTGAGGTTGGTGCTCTTTATATGTTCTTGGGGGATGGGAAGGGAGGCTGGTCCCTGTAGCTGGACATTATTAGCATATCCCACCACAACCCCCACAGGGGTTGTCTGGGCAAACCTCGGCCTTTCTTCTAGAGACAATTTGCTGTTTACTGGCCCCTTTGACACAAATGATTTTTACTACAGCCCAACCTGCTCAGTGGCCTTCTGGCTATTCCAAACCTGGGGATCACTTAAGTTGGGGGGAGGGCTTGAAATCGATCGCACTTTAAGACAATCAGCAGCAGTATCGTAATAAGGCATTAACTTCTGTATTTCCATCTGAGGAAACCTAGAGGCTAGAGGACTTGCCGCTTTATTCTGCGGCGTTGGGGGTGGGGGGGCTTGTTTCTCATTTTCTTTACCTGAAGAGATTTTTGTCAGTTTGTACGCTTATAATAGTTGCTTTAAAAAATTGATGTGACATTTTCATTTATGGAGAGAACCCAGAGTGTCCTGTTTCAGATAAAGACTCAGGGAGCAAAGTTAGGATGAGTTGGTCATTCCACAGGTTCAACATTCTCCAGGGCTTCCTTTTCAAACCTGGCTCCGTTAGATGTCATATTATTTTCTTCTGCTTTAAAAAGGAAATGTCTTCAGGTGGACCAAGTGACCCTCTAGCATCCTGCCCGTCCTAGCTTCCTTCCTTCCTTCCTTCCTTCCTTCCTTCCTTCCTTCCTTCCTTCCTTCCTTCTTTCCTTCCTTCCTTCCTTCCGTCCTTCCTTTCTTCACACACTTGCCTGTTGCCTTTCCCTCTGTGCCAGGACTAGACTGCAGCAGGCGATTCCCGCGCCTGTGGATGAGCAACAGCAGAAGTCCAGTTTCTCACAGAAAGCTCCCTTCCCAGTGTGGAGTGGAGTTTCCTTTCTCCAGAGCTTTCTGCTCCGCCCTATCAGTTCTACAGACTAAACAGCCAGCCAGGCTTTAGGGTCGCTAATTTTCTGCTTTCAGGCCAGCTAAGACCGTTACAGATGCGTCCCAGCTGCTGGCACAGAGATCCTGGGCTAGTGTAAAATTTCCAGCTCCTCTAACAGAGTGACTTCACACACTTTGGTGACAAAAGCCTTTCAGAAATGCAACTTGCAGACAGGTCTTTTTGAAACTTGGGTGGGAAATGACCATTCAAAAAAAATGAGCCTATTTCTCCACTTTTACAATCTCGCCTCCACTGTGAACCCATTTTCAAGTCACTTCAAGAAATACCGTTATTTAAGGTAGATACAAGTTCTCTGGGGCTTTGCATTTGTAGCCCCCATTGTAAATGTAAAAAACTGTTCACAGTTCTAAGTGGCATCCAATTAAGTGCTGTGGCTCCAAAGACTCTCTCTGTCTCTGTCTCTGTCTCTGTCTCTGTCTCTGTCTCTGTCTCTGTCTCTCTCTCTGTCTCTCTCTCTCGGGCGCTTTCTATTCTGATGATGGTGATTATAATGGTGATGATGATGGTGAGACTCAAAGTAATTTTTCTAAAGCAACCATGATTTTTTATCTGATATCTGTAGGGGCCAAAGACCTTATAATTGTCTGTGGAGGCAAGCACTCCTAGGAGGGACCTGAAAGCCCGTGTCAGTCACTGTACTTGATGGCTCTGTCTGTCTCTGCTCCCTCTACAATGCACTGTCATCTTGAAGACAGCTTTCTTCTGAAAACCCAGGCCCTGTCTCACACCCAGGGGCTAGCTACTTAATAATCTAGCCAGTGGGAAATCCAACTGTACCTTACTGGGGTCTCGTTACCGATGTACAACTTTGAAATGAATACAGTCTAAGGATAACAGCAGATAAAAAGTCACTCTCCTGAAGACAAGGTTCCTGCCTCATGTGTGTGGATGCATATGAATGTCCACAGAGCACGCATGGAGCCTCCATGACATCACTTTGGTGAGGCAGATATTCCCAACCTCAAATTCACAGCAAGAGCCATACAGAGGCTCAAGTCAGCCTTCTTCTTCTTTACCCTCTTCTCTCCTCCATCCTCCTTCTCCTTCCCTTCCCCTGTCTCATATTTAAGGTAACTAAAACAGCATAATGACTTGGATGCAAATATGTTCCTACAGTTGGAGTGGGAGACAGGGAGTCTGCCTTGCCTGTCCTCCAACTCTTTCCCAGGCAGCCCTCTCAGTGTTCCAAGTATATACTTAATGGCAACTGCCTTGAATCTGCCAGGCAGGGCTCATTTACTAGTATTCGCCATTTTCACATATTCACTCAGTACTACAAATGATTCTGTCATTTTATTTGATTTACTTTTTAAAAAGGTACATGTTAACTCTAGGACTGGGTAATTTTCCCTTGCCCACACGGGATTTGAACGAGTCTCCTTCTCCTCAGAAATGGGACCAAGCCCCAGCAGGTGACCCTCCTTGCTTCATATGGTCATTCTCCCTCAGTTTTCCAGAGCTTCCTCAGCTCACCAAGCAGAAAACTCATACAAACTGGGGTCTTTCTCTGGGCTTCCGTGCTGGGAGGGCGCTGTCACTCAGGGCCCCCTGTCAGTAACAGAAGTTCTCAGAGGTTAGGGCTGTCTTTGGTAAGGTGATCTCCAAACAAATTTACCAGAGTGCAGCAGGCAGAGTGGAACTAAAGAAGCAGGGAGAAACACAAGCGGCCTGCTCCTTAATGAGTTCTGTGGAGGCTTCCCTCCGGGTTGAGGGCCCAAGGGACTCAAGTGCTGAAAATAGAATCTCAGAGCACAAGAATAAAAAATGAGCCAAAAACTTTCAAGCACTAGCCGCAGCTGAAAAGGGGGGAGATCAAAAACCTGAGGTAGTCTGCAAAAAAAAAAAAAAGAAGAAGAAGAAGAAGAAGAAGAAGAAGAAGAAGAAGAAGAAGAAGAAGAAGAAGAAGAAGAAGAAGAAAGCCCACTCCTGAGAGATGAGAAAGGCTCCTTTCCCACACAGAAAGCCTGGGTGTTCTTTTCCACAACAGCCGACGTGGGGAAACATGGTATTTGGGTGAATCTTACAGCAAAAGACAAAACAAAACAAAATGGGAGAAATTAAACAGGGACCTATAGGAAATGTGTATTTGGTTTAAATAGAGCACACACACATAGACACACGTATACACGAATTATACATGTATGCATACACACACACACACACACACACACACACACATACACACCCCGTCTTTTCCCTCACTTCTGCCCCTACCTGCAGAATTCTGCTTTTGCTAGTTGTAGATGACTTCCCAAATGTGCTAAACAATTTTAAGTTGTTATCAGCTCTGGAAGCTGGGCACACCTATGTAAACACATCAGTACCTGCCAGAGTTGTAAAAAGAATTTGTGGACAAGACAGCTGAGGAAGACATTGGCCTCTGCTTGAATTCGAAGACTCCCAGGAGAGATCAAAGGACTATATAAGGGCATTTAGCAGCCTTGAGAGGAGAGGGAAGAGTGGCCTGTCTCCTCGCCTCTATGTTTGTTGCCCCGCACATGGCAGGGACATTTCACCTCACAGAACGACTAAGAACTAAGCTTGCAAAACTTTATTTTTGCAGACAGAATCTTCAAGCACTGAAGATCATCTTTTAAAGAGTTGATAATTTTTTGGAACTGAATGGAAATTTTTACAGAAGGAAATGCCATGTTATTGCTTGTTTATTAGTAATCAGACAATGAGATATATAATGTTTAAAACCAAGCACTTTTTAAACCCATATATGGTGATATGGAAGGAAGCATCTCTAAGTGAAGGAACGGGTGCTTCTGATGGGAGAGTATGAATGGTAGAGGAGTGTCTTTATAATTTGGAAAGTGACCTTTAGCACCCTGATTTTCCTGATGTCTTCATAGCTGTTAAGAGACCCAAATTTCTGTCCTCCCCACAAAAGGAAAAAAAAAAGAGTTGGGCAGAAAATTGATGTCATTTGACATAAGCAAATTTCCCCAAAGTCGAGGCTTTGAATTCCATGATGAAAGCTAGCTTGAAAGAGCTTATTGACATTTGATATCTATGAATTATTTCAGCAGTAGCATAACAGAAAACCACTCATTATTTAATATTTGACATTATATGCATCTCTGGAAAGAGATTTAGGTTCAATCCCAAAGTCCTTATCTTTACCAAGTTATTATGTCTTAATTTTCTGCTTCCATAGCCTTGTTTATTTTGGCTTTGGCCTTGGTTAAAGATTATCATCATTAATATCAAACAAAAACAGCTTACTCACAAATACACCAAGGATTTCATTGGGGAGCCTAACATGTCATCTACAGCACTGAAGGTCACATGAACTCTTTGGAAAATATTTTCACTATTTAATGAAGAGGCTTCCATAGGCAACCTCACTCTAAACGATTTCTCAAGTTACCCAGCTGAGAAACATGGAGAGGATTTGGTTTGCAAAGACTGTATAAAATCCATCAACGACAAAAGACCATGAGTTGATAAAAGCATTCTACTGTAGAATATCATAATACAAATCTTCTTTGAAATATGTAAGTCTAAGGTAAATATGTTCTCCTGACCAGTTATGATATGCCAATTGCACAAAGAATTCAGCTTTTGAAGGTATTAGTATAGAAGCACATTTTATGGCAAATCCTTAGGTTGTCAAAAATATTCATAGGTACATTATGTGTATGGTTAAAAAGGACAGAGGCTACCCAGATGCAGTCACACATATTTTGGTTGGGTAATTTGACTAGTAAATGCTTTGGAATTTGTTTTTGAAAGTTATGCTATAATTTGGAGTTTGCTAGCTAGCTAGCTGCTCTTTCAGAAAGAGGTTGGCAGAAACAATTGTCAAAGAGATCCAAATAATTCTACAGACCATAGATGTTCTCACTTCTTTTCCAAGGCTTCTCTTTCAGGGCACAAAGTAATCCAGGGCATAAATTTTCAACCATTAATATTCTCCTGCCTTTGAGTCCTGACTTTATACTTAACACATGAGAAAAGTTTCTACTCCAAGAATCCTCTGAAATAGCAGTGATTTT